TATCCTTAAATCCCAATATCCCTAGATCCCAGTATCCCTAGATCCCAATATCCCTAGATCTTAATATCCTTAGATCCCCATATCCCTCGATCCCAAAATCCCTAGATTCCAATATCTCTCGATCCCAAAATTCCTAGATTTCAATATTTCTAGATCCCAATATCCCTAATCTCTAGGTCAATATACTTCCCTCTCTATATCTCTATTTCCCCATATCCCTAAATCTAGTTCGATTTATCGCGAATTGTACACCGAAGCATATTAGACTTCATGATGCAAAAAGTATATTCCGAGTACAGAATTAATACACACCAAGTACGCTCTTCCCCGTACCACTTCCATAAATCATCAGTCGTGATATCTGCATCTAATCTAAAAACACCATCGGGAATATCATCGGAAATCTTTCGTGGTTCCGAAAACACGAAGAATACGTCCGACTTTCTAACCAGATCGATGTTACGTTTGCCTGTATCCCGCCCCGTCGAATCGGGATGGCCGACAAGGTCTACCGGAGGAAGACACACCGGCGAACGAACAAGGATACAATTTTACGACGCTATTTGAAATTCGGCGCGGTCGTAAAGGACATGAAAGCGAAGGCCGTGATTTCGTGCACCTGTTGTTTTCGCCAAGCCGCGATAAGATCGCGAACGCGCGCGCGAGCGAGCGAGCGAGTGTAACGTCGATAGAAGAAGAGGCTTCAATTGGCCAAGTCAGCCTTGCCAAGATGAAGATGTATCGTAGATAACCCAGCTGGTGTACACCTGCATAACACCGGCCCCGACTCACCGACCATAAAACTTAATTAACCCCTTGCACGACGATTTATTCCGGCGTCGATTAAGAGGATTCCTCGATAATCTGAATCCGCTAGCCGCTTAAATCCTCAACCCGTTTAAATCACCATCGACCACGGTTTTGCTAATCACGAACGGACTCGCCTCGGCTATACACTGCAGCTGGGAGAAAAAAAGCTATTCAATATTTATGCGGTATAGAGGAGGTACAATCGGGGGCAACGATGGTTACCCTAGGGAAAATATGGCGGTTGAGGAGAGAAGAGTCGTACTGGTTTGTTTTTAGGTGTTGTGATTATTTCAGGTTTGAGCTGAAATCAATTTATAATTGGTGGGTTAAGACAGTGGCATTTGGCGAGTTTTGGGGATTTTTGATATAGGTGTTTAGGGAGATAGGAAATTTGAGATCCGTGGATTTGGAGACTTTGGGATTTCGGGGCCTTCTAATTAGGGGACGTTGTTATTTGAGGTCTTTGGAATTTGGGGATCTAAGAATTTGGGGATTTAGAAATTTGAGGACGTAGAGATTTGTGCAGAAGGAATTTGAGGATGTACGAGTTTCGGGACATAGTAATGTGGGGATGTAAGAGTTTTGGAACATAGGAATTTGGGGATGTGGGTATTTGAAGTCTTCGGAATTTGGAGGCCTTGTAATTTGGGGACGTGGTGATTTGAAATCTTTGGAATTTGAAAATCTAGGGATTTGGGGATTTAGGAATTTGAGGACGTATGAAGTCAGAAACCTTGAGATTTTTTCTTTAATCCCCAAATTATGTAATTAATTACAATGTTAAGGAACATTGTAATTAAGGAATCTAGGGACTTGGAAATCTAGAAATTTAGAAACCCAGGAATTTAGTGAGTAGATACTTATGAAACTTGAGATTTTTGACTCTGTAAATAGAACATTGCAATTTAGAGATTTGGAGATTCAAAAATTGAATCACATACTTCGAGGTTTTTGAACTTGGGTATCTACAGACTCACGCATCTAAAAATTTAGTAACATGTCTAAATCTAGTGATACACAATCTAAGATATGTCCTGTATATTTGGGAATCTTGAGACAAACATCAAATCTTGAGATAAACATCAAAATTTGAAGAACTAATTATTTGAACAAAGTAAATACAGAAATTTACGTATGTGTAAAACTGCAGGAATTTTATTGTACACCCCGTATGTGTTTATTTCATGTTCCCTGCTTTATTGCACGAAAGTGTTGCACGTTACGTTTAAAAGAGTAATAATAAAACGAAGCGGAGCTCGATTTTAAAGGCGATTCGTATAGGATTGGCTGATATACGATGTAATACGCGGACAATAAGAGCAAACATCGAGATAGATTGGGAATGGGTAACAGGATTTGTTCATTTTACACGCGAAGAAAATTCTACAACAAAGTATACTTTTCTCGAGCGTAAAGCATCGTTTTTTAAGCCGCTCGAGATTGGGATTTCGCTGTCAGATAAATCCTGGAATTGCGATTTTTTGTGGCTGCTAGTACGTCTACCGTTATCGTAATTTCTTCAATTTCAAGCTTATCGTTGATATTTTTGTTTATTGCGATTTGCGATTATATATGGGGAATATGTAATATTAATACTACTGATAATATGGACAATATTATCCATATTATATATACTAATAATATGGACAATATTTATAGTACTGGCAATAGTGATAATCTATGAAATGAAACAAAAATGTATGCATATAGATATGTACATGATTAATGAACATATTAATATGAAATACATTGATGATTTACAGAATGTCCCAAAAATGTGTACATATAAATACGTGCATGATCAATGAACATATTAATACCAAACATATTGACAATCTACAGAATGTCCCAAAAGTGTTTACATATAGATATGTGCATCATGAAATGGACATATTAATACCAAACACATTAATAAATTGCAGAATGTTTCAAAAATGTATACATATAGATATGTGCATGATCAATGATCATATTAATACTAAACACATTGATAATTTACAGAATGTTTCAAAAATGTATACATATAGATATGTCCATGATCAATGAACATATTAATACAAAACACATTGAAAATCTACAGAATGTTTCAAAAATGTAGATATATAGATATGTACATGGTTAATGAACATATTATTACCAAACACAGAAACAATTATAATACAGAATTGACGTTGATGATTGTCGTTTTGAACATTTGTAATTTTCAGACAAACAGTAGCTAACCTAACCATCATCATAAACCTAACCTAACCTAACCATCATCATTTTTATATAATGATTTAATAGTAATAAAATAAACTAATAATAAAGCGTGTATACATATTACTACGAGCATCTTGTATAATTACCCCAGACTCCCTTCATCCCTACACTCATACCAAGACTCCCAAAAAATTAACAAAATGCATATTGTCAATTTAAAATCCCTACAAAATTTTACATAATCTGTTCACCTGTTTTCCTACATTTATAAAGCTTACATTATCCCACATAGCTGTGCTCTGATTTAATAATTTTTTCAGCAACCGCGTTAAAACGTCTTTCCACCTCGCCACGCGGGGGTTAAAGATTACGAGCGCGACGGGACGGGAATAAAATCCCCAAACCGTTCACGACATCCAACGGAACGCAATATCCAAGATTTCAGTCAATAATACAGCCGGCTTACCATGTCAGCTTCTAAACGCGCGGCAGTAACGCCACCTCGTAAAAGACGCGTCAGCGTAGCCGTAAAGGGAACGAAAGCTCCGCTTCGTGAAACGTTCGTGATTATGAACGTCCTGTTGCAAAAAATACCGTACAGTTAACAGGTCGTTCGGTAGCCGTAAATGTTATCGCTAATCGCGTTACGCGGTCTTTACAACCGCTATGAAAACGGCTATTAATTGATGTCCTTACACCTTTATCACTGAACTGCTCGCAGGACAGGCGACTACTTCATACCACGAGGTCCTTTCTTTCGAGAAAAATTTTGTTGAAATTAACTCTTGTTTGCTACTCTGGTTACTCTTTTACATTATGTACATTTCTCGGTAGCTTAAGATATTATAGATTTTTTTGTTTTATTAACAAGCTCTTCATTTTTGTAAGGAAACTTCTATAGCAAGAATTGTGGAGGAATACAAACATGAATTTTTAAATAAAGATTAACAGGTAACAGGATTTTGAAGTTCACACTAATTATTCAATAAATAATTTTAAAGAAATCTTTCACATCATTTAACTCGAGATTACAAAGAAATAACAAGAAAAAGTTGACAATATTAATGATTACCCAACACAACAAAAGTACGAAACAAGAAGTATAACTCGAACCAGTAGAACGTAAAATGTAGAGTCTTAAAGATGTTTGTCATTAATTATGGTACCAGTTCATCGGCTTCTGACATAAGCCGTGTCTAGTCGGTAAAGTTGAAAGTGTCCTTTCTCCAGTGATCTGTGCTTACACATAGAAAAGTCTCCGGGTAATAATGACACAAAGATGCCGGCTCGCTCTTAGGGGGTACTGGTATCAGGGGACTTCTCGGGACGAAAATCTTCTAAACCAAGGGCACGGTTCGTTAGCGCCATTGTGGTCGAGTCCAAATATTGTTGGATTCCTTTACGGACCTACAGCGAAGATTTCTGCCTTCCATGACGTCGCTATTGTGCGACTATTTTCGAGAATGACGACTTTATGCGCGGAGGCACAAGCCGACCTGACACGTCTCTTTCATCTTCGACCTGCTTCCTCGAATTTTCTTCGTAAATCTGCTTTTCGTTCGTTTTCTTGTATAAGGAATATTTAACTTAATTTTGTTTGAAAATGTTTGAATGTTTAACTTAATTTTTTTATTTCATGATTTTTATACGAATATTTTGGTGATTTTTAGAAATTTAATTTGATGGCTAATGGTGAGAAAAAAAGTGTTTAAATTGTTTAGAAGGACATTTGATTTAACGTTTTTTGAAGGATCATTTAATTTGATTTTTTTTAAGAGAACATTTGGTTTAATGTTTTTTAAAAGAACGTTTACCTTGATATCAAAAGAAGAACGATTCATTTCTTCGTTTTGAATATGGTATTCTATTTTGTTCATGATCGATGTCAGATCTAAAACATAAAATCTGTATAATATAGGTTATGTAAGAGTATAAAGCGTAAGGGAGAGGATTTGTAGGTTATATTTTTGTATCGATATAAATTTTAATTTATTCAAATCTCAACGTCAATAGTGACACAAGTCCATGAGACATATACACAGAATTAATTAAAATTACACACTCGAATGGAGCACTTTTAAATATCGCAAAAATAATATCTAACGAGACAGTGTTATAGTCACCCTTAATAAGTGTTACTTTTCCTACAAGTTAAAAAAAACTCTTTTTTAAATTCAAGAAAAAGAATGACTACAAGTAGTAACTGTTATCAACACAAGATTAGTGCAATGTTGGAACAGTAAATTGTTTTTGTTATAATTCACACACATTTTGTAGCAATACAGGCTATTTCACGTTGACTGCCACATTGAAGCAATTAATTTCATCATTCTTTTATTTTTACCACGTCTCACAAAATATTTTCACAATATTACATTAATCAATTATAGCTTCAAGTACTACGAATATTTAGAATGGACAAATTGTTTGTATGTAATCTGTGTGGAAATTAAATCGTGTGGCAGACAAAGTGTTTAATTTAGAGCCTCACTAATTGTCGTGTGCAGTAGAGTACGCGTGAGGGTTTCAATTAATCTTCCGATCGTTGCTGCGATCATTGCTGTTGTTATCTTTATCGAATTTGTCGAGGATGTCGAGTCGGAGGAAGGATCCAACGATGGAACGAGCCGTTGAAGCCGCCCTGCCGATACCGCCTTCCATCGAACTCGTGCCGCTGCTTTTCGAGATTTTAACGGGTTTCGTCTCCGCCCAAATGTTCACGGCGAATCTCAATTCTGCTACCAGTGCCTCCCATGGTGTAACCTGTAAGAATGCCAACGAAAAGTGGTCTGGTACTTTACCCATTAAGGACCAATGTCACGTTTGCAACATTTCGTTTGTATTCTTTATTTCTTTCCTCGATTTACGTTTATTGGATTTTGCTTCTTAACATTGTAGCTGTATAAAAGAATTTCAGCGATTTGCTTTACTGTTACTTCGCGGTTATTCATGCTGGACATTAACTGACCCACAATGTGCGATCCATGTTAAGTAAAGATTCTTTTAATGAGTGGATACCGTTTCTTCCGGGAATATTCAGGTGGAGTTAGTAATAATGGGAGGTTATAATGTACTTTTATATGTTATATTAGTGGGCTGTAGGGTTACGGTTTAACCTTGTTGCATAAGTTTTTGGGATCGAGGGAGGTATGTTGTTGAACTCTTATAAATTGTGGTATTAAGAGAGTAAAAGAAGAGGAAAATGTGGACTTTTTGGTGACTAGTTTTGGGAAGATCTGGGGAGATTTTAGGGTTAGGTCTACCAAGGGTTTAAAGTTCTAAAATTCAAAAAATTCCCAAATTCCTAAATCCCCAAATTCCCAAATTCTCAAATTCCCACATTCCCAATTTCCCAATTTTCCAATTTCCCAAATTCC